CAAGACAGTACGGCGCCCCCTCAGCGCTGAATCCCCCACTCCTGGGGCAGTGCATCACCCCCTCAGTACTGACCCCGGGCAGTGTGGTACCCCCTCAGTGCTGACCCCCTCCCAAAGTGCCTATTTGCTCACCTTGAGGCCTGGGAAAGTATTACTGAACAAACTGGTCATCCTCCGGTGTGACAGCAAATCGCCGCTGGTCACCATCTCGTCCGCGCCCTCCTTGGTTTTGCCTTTGGACCTCTGGTGGAGCGAGTCCGACTCCTTCACCTCCCGCACGGCTTTACCTCCTTCCTCCGCCGCCCTGATGGCCAGAGACAGGAGCTGGCGGAGGTCCACCTTCGTCTCCCCGCTCCCCAGCCCCGAGCTGCCGAACCTGGAGTACAGGTAATAGATCATGCCGGTAGTCAGCAGGATGCAGAGCAACACCCGACCCCGGGACACACTCACCCCCATTGGAGCCATCAGCCCTCCCTCCTCCCCCTCTGTACCTCACTATCCCCTTCAACACACCCCGACAAGCTCACTCCCCTTCCCCAGCTGACAGCAAATCGAGCGAGTCTCCTTAGAAAACGTATGCGGAAGTAAAGCAGGAAACAAGCCGCTGGAGTGTGTGAAAGCAGAGTGTGCGAAAGCAGAGTGTGCATCGTAGACATCATCCCTCAAACGCCCTCTGCCTGAACATATCCATCATTGATGTTTAGTTCCTTTCTGGGAAAGTACAACGTTTACATCGCACTTTAAAGGTAGAAAAAGTTGCCCTGTGGCTTCAATGAGTCCAACTAATGTTAAGAGGACAAGAAATCAAAGGAAAAACCGGTAAAACTTGTGAATATTGCATCCCGGTTATCTTGTACTGTCTACTTCAGAACAGCGTTACAGCACGACCAACACATTACTTTCTAAGTATTATTGTTTTGTAGGAGGTTCACTACACTGATTCTAGACATAAGGGGTTTGTCTTCCGAAGAAATTAAGCAGTTTAGAGTTGAGAAAAAATGAGAGACGATCTAATAGAGGTGTATTAAAATCCTGAAGGGGATTGACAAAGTAGATGTAGAAGTGATGTTCAATAATAACCAAAGAACTGCATTTGCTGGAAGTCAGAAGCACAGTGAAATTGCCGGACAACAAACTCAGCATATTTGGCAACAACATCTATGGAGGGAAAGCAAAGTTAACGTTTTAGGTCCAGTGACCCTTCTTCAGAACTGATTGTAGCAAGGAAAAGGTTGGTTTCTGTACTGTAGATGGAATGGGGGAAGGGGGGAGCAGTTAATGACGGGTGGAGATGAAGCCCAAAGAGAGAGAGGGACAACAGTTGTTGGACAAAGGAATGGCTAAAGGTCAGCTGCGGGAATGAATAGCTGCAGTAGGGACCATTAGGGGAGATAATGGGGATACAGGAATAAGAATTTTGTTTTATTATTCATTCATGGGATAGTGGGTGTCACTGGCTAGGCCATCATTTATTGTCCTGGAAAAGGTTTGTGAGCTGGCTTCTTGAAAAGCTCCAGTAGTTGGGGGCCTAGAGACACATAGAAGGAACAATGATATTATTGCATGTCAGGGTGATATGTGGCTTGGAGGGAACTTGAAGGTGTTTCCATGCGTTTGCTGCCCTTGTCCTCCTAGTTGGTAGAGGTCATGGGTTTGGCAGGTGCTGTCACAAGAAGTTGGTGAGCGACTGTGGTGCGGAATGTGATCCATACAATTATCGATGGTAAGATGGAAGGAGAATGGGGCTCTACAAGACAGCAGGACCAAAAGAAAATGCTAGTTTGAGCAGTCTAATAGTATTGAAGGAGTTTGTACAGGTAGGTAAAGTTAGACATTAGAGTTTTAGAAGTAGGGATGATCTGTGGAACTGCTTGAAGTCTCTGACTTTAGCTCAAAGTAACTCTGTCCAATTTTCTTCAATGCGCAAAACTTACAAGGTCCTGAGAAGCAGGGGATTTCCATTCTCGGTGTTCAATCTCTCAGACAATTTTTTTTGTCCACGCTGACACTATTGCTTTATTTCTTTGTGCAGCTTCTCAGTGAAGACACCATTGTGCAAATAATTTTATTCAATACTTCCACCACCAGGAAAAACACCCGTGTGGCCAGGGAACCAGCCTGATAAGAGCAAATGCTTACGTGAAAAAAGTGAAGGGGGAAGATAGGGATTAAATCAAAAGAAACACTATTACTTTAATCCAATGGGTATTAATTTTGCTAACAAGTCAATTATGTGATACTTTATTAAATTGTTTTTGAAAGTCTACACAGATATAAACCACACTAATCTCATTAGCCTTCCCTGTTGCTTCACTGAAGAATTCAACCAAGTTAGTCAGACACAATTTGCTTTTAACAATTCCATTCTAATCTCCAATTATTAATCCACATTTTTCTATTTGCCAATTAATTTTATCCTGATGATTGCCTCCCCACTGTCAAGATTGGACTGTAGTTGCATTTTTACCATTCTCCCTCTTTGTAAACTGGTATGCAACATTTACAATCCTCCAGCCTTCTCCCTTCACTCTAATTTCTAAGTGTGATTAATGAAATGTGGCCATAGCCTCCACAATTTCCACACTTACTTCCCTCCCATCCGAATGGATGACTTATCTATATTGAAATGTGCCACCCTTTTAATCTTTGTTTATTTTATCATATCAAATATTGCTACTGCCTTCTCTTTTGCCACAATTGGCAGTTTAAAAGATTGGAAAGATTTAAAAGGGACCGAAGGGGCAACTTTTTCACATAGGGGGTGCTGCATGTATGGAATGAGCTGCCAGGGAAAATGGTGAAGGCTGGTACAATTACAACTTCACTAGTGAAAACAAAAACAAAGTTGCTGGAAAAGTTTAGCAGGTCTGGCAGCGTCTGTGAAGGAAAAAAAACAGAGCTAACGTTTCTGGTCTGGTGACACTTCCTCAGAACTGATGGTGCTGGGGAAATGTCAGTTTATATAACGTCATATAATTATGGGGAATAACGGGGAACATATAACACTGGGGAAACATACACACTGACGTTTCCCCAGCCACCATCAGTTCTGAGGAAGTGTCACCGGACCAGAAACGTTAACTCTTTTTTTTGTTCCTTCACAGATGTTGCCAGACCTGCTGAGCTTTTCCAGCAACTTTGTTTTTGTTCCCTATTTACAGCATCCGCAGTTCTTTTGGTTTCCCTAGTGAAAATGTATCCAAACCACACATTTGGTACCTCAGCCAAGCTCTCTAGTTCAGAACAAGATCTCCTTACTGGTCCCTAATAAGTCTCACTCTTTGATTGTCTTTTTATCATTTATGTATTTGTAAAATATATTTGGGTTCTGTTTTATGTTAATTGCTGATCAATTCACATCATTCAAGTTCCTTTTATTCCTCTGTACTTGCAATATACATTTTGCTTCTTTACTGTATTAAAAACCTTACATGTGTTATAAGAACCCAATTTCTCTCACACTTTAACCTCTATAATTTTAGCCATCCAGGGACGTCTAGTCTTGGATCCCCTTCCTTTACCCCTCGTGGGAATATGTCTATGTTCTACCGAAACCATCTTCTCTTTGAAAGCCTTTTATTGTCCAATGAAGGGTTTGTCTTTCAGTTAAGTCCAATCCACCTGGGTCAGATTGAAGTTAGCCCTTCTTGAGTTAACTATTTTCATGCTTGAAGATTCCATGTCCTTTTCCGTAGCTCTTCTAAACGTGAAAAATACGGTTATCATTCTTCCTGAAATGCTCTCAGCTGAAAGATGACTTATCTGCCCAACTTATTTCCCCAGAGCTATGTTTAATACTGCTTCCTTCCTTGTTGGGTTGAACAGGGAAGTTCTTTTGTATTGTTGCCTCTTTTCACTTTCAACAGTTACTAGTCAGCCTACATTAGGATTATTACACTGCCATTATCACTGTTCTGTTATTCTTTTTTGTAGTTTGTCTGCAAAATCGCTTCTAACGCCTCCCATTGCCCTACAGGATACATCTAGTAACATAACAGCTCCTCAGCTGTTTGTTCATTCAAAATAAATAGACTTTGTCTTTAATTTCCCAAAGGCAACATCCCTCTCCAAGTGCTATAATTGTTTCTTTTTCCGTTACTGCTAACTATCCTGCAATGTTTTTCCTTCCCTAAATTTCTTGACTACATATAGCAGGAATATTAAATTCCCAAACCTCTTCTTTGAAACAGGTTCTTGTATTGCCCTTACACAATATTCTCATGTGGCGATTTGTACCTGAAGCTCATCAGCTGTATATATCACACTGCATGCATGTACTGCACTGCAGGCATTCTGAATTCATCACAGATTGACTCACATTTGCCCCTTGTCCTATTTCTTCTGTTCCTGAACAATTTTTACCTTAATGATATTTGTCGCTCCCAGTTTTCTATGTATCTTTTTCTTCCTCTTTAATATTTCATCATGTTCTTCTTCATCCGGCCAAGTTTGTTTAAACATTTATGATTATTTCAGTTGGTGACGGGCTGAGGTGCAGGATGGAGACAATCACTAGTCATACATAGAAGCAGGTGATCTTTGTGATGGGAGAAAGAATTAGCTCTATCAGGAAGCAGAGATTATACGTGCTCTAATTCAATTTGAGACACTGACTGTGATGAAGATGGAATTAGTGCTGAATGTGAGAAACTCGTAGCAAGAAAATCACAGTCAGTGGGCTGAATCTTACTTTTGTTTTAAATCAAGTGTCAGTTTCATCAAGTTTCACAAGGAGGTGTAGAGAGATCACTTATTGTATCTTACCAAACTCACTTCATTAACTACCTACCCCTCCAATGCCCCGCTCGCCCAATTCTACATCTCACCATTCCTGGAACAACATGCTGCTCTGTGGATATCTGCCAGAAGACCAGCATCCTTTGTGCCCATGCCATCGTTAAAAAATTGCCATGAACACACAGAAGCTTTGGCAATCCGGCTTTGCCCCTCATCAGCAATATAACGGTGTAGTAGGCTCAAAGCCATTGTGCCCATGATTCATAAACCACTTAGCTAATACTCCTTTGCACATACAACCCTCATTCTCTCATCCTAGTTTATAGACCGGCTACACTGTTTAGCTGTCCTTAAGTGTATCCCATCTAAACATCCTCTCCAAGTCACTGCCACTCTGCCCCCACGCCCACTGTAGGCCATCATCCTGTCATTGCCCAGAAGGAGAAAATCACAACCAGGCAAGTGATCATACAAATACAAACATGAGCTTTTATTTGCTCTCAACAATAACAGTCACAAACAAAATGAATGTAGCTGCAATTTATTCTGTCAGTGCAAACCAAATGCTGGCAAGATGAGCAACAACTATTTTATATCCAGATGACAGGAACATAAGGGTGCAGAAGTACCCTGGTTAGACCCCACTTGGAGTACTGTGAGCAGATCGGGGCACCACACCTTAGGAAGCATATATTGGCCTTGGAAACAGTACAACATAGGTTTACAAGAATGATACCTGGACTTCAGGGGTTACGTTTGAGGAGTTATCATACAAGATAGATGTGTTTTCTCTAGAATTT